TCTTCACCACAGTAATACCAATTTTCTTTGGAACCACCTGAGTCGGGCTCACCCATTTGCTATCCGAGATTGGATAATTGATACCTGCATCGAGTAACTTCATCACCTCAACTCTTACAACTTCCTTCATGATCGGATTTAGACGTCTTTGAGCTTCAACAGTTGGCTTAGTCCCAGCCTCCATAAAAATCCTATGCATGCACAATGCTGGACTAATGCCTTTTATGTCAGCAAGTGTCCACCCTAGAGCATCTTGATACTTGCGAAGAACTCTTAGTAATTTGTCTTCCTTCGTGTCATTAAGATCAGCAGCAATAATAACAGGCAATGTCTCATTCACCCCGAGATGAGCATACTTGAGGTGGCTCGGCAGTAGCTTGAGCTCTAACTTTGGAGCTTGCTCACTTGAAGGAAAAAGAGGCTGCTTAGGCACTCCAAGGCTTTCATAAACATGTCGCCACTTTGGATTATGAATTGTTGCATTATCCAATGCAGCGATGACGTCCACCACATTTTCTTCCATAGATAAAGTAGCATCATGGTTGGTGAGGCAAGTTAACAGCTCATCATTAGATGATCGTGAGGCAAAGTTTGCATGCACAATCCCATCCAAAACATCAACACGAAAACACTCTTCAGGTTCGAAAGGACGCTTGACAGCTTCAAAGAGTTTGAATACAACTGATTCTCCTTGCACTCTTAGGGTTAAAGTACCTGCTTCCACATCAATAAGTGTCCGGGCGGTGGCCATGAACGGTCGGCCTAAAATGAGAGGCACTTCCTTGTCTTCCTCCATGTCAAGTACAATGAAATCAGCTGGGAGATAGAATTTATCCACTTTAATAATCACATTTTCCAGAATACCCAAAGGATATGTCACAGACCTATCTGCCAATTGAAGACTCACAAATGTGGGCTTGAGTTCTCCTTCACCTAATTTTTGAAAAACAGAATAAGGCATAACACTTGCTCCTAAATCAATCAATACTTTATGAAAATCAAGACTACCAATAGTACAAGAGATAGTGAAACTCCCCGGATCTTTCTTCTTGGGTGGTAGCTTATGTAAGAGGACAACACTGCATTGCTCAGTTAAAATCACATTCTCATATTCCAAGAACTTTTTCTTTTTAGAACATAGCTCCTTTAGAAATTTGGCATATGATGGGATCTGTTTAATAACATCTAATAGAGGCAAATTAATTTGAACCTTAGCCAACGTCTTCATGAATTCAATGCATTTTGATCCTTGGAACGTTGTTGCTGCCTTTGTGGAAATGGCAAAGGTGGCTTGTATGGTGGCTTGTCAGAAGGTGCAAATAAAATACCAAGGCCTTTTTCCTTGTTTGCATCAGAGTTGCGTCGAGATTGCACTTTGTCATTTGCACTAGGATCTGGAATACCTGCTTCAGAAATAGCCTCTGATCGAGACTTTGCAGCTAATGGTGCACTTTCAGTAAGCTCTTCTTCTTCCACTTCGGCTTCATGGTGCACCACTTCTCTATTGTCATAGCTCTTGCCACTTTTCAATGTCCGTATTACTTTGCAATGCTCCATCCCTCTTGGATTTTGCTCAGATTGGCTCGGGAACTTTCCTTTCTCTCTTTCATTGAACATGGTAGCAAGCTGTCCAACTTGAGTCTCCAAATTCCCCACTGATGCCGTGAGATTCTGAATGCTAGTTTGTGTGGATTGGACAAAATTGTTGGTGGTATTAGAGAAAGTGGACATATGTTGAGCTAGCTGTGACATGGTCATCAAGAGATGGTTTCTTAGTCTCACTAGTTGATTGGTAAGACTGCTGGTATTGCCGTGGTTGTTGGTTACCACCCCAACTGAGATTGGGATGGTTCTTCCACCCAGGATTATATGTATTGGAATAAGGGTCACTTCTGGGTCTAATGAAATTATTCACCATATTCACATGATCTTGCACAAGCTCAGGGTAGCTATCCTTGTTGGGGGCATTGAGTGATGTCATGAGTTGTTGCACTACAAATGATGCATGCTTCTTGGGCATTGGGCATGGAAGAGACCTGCATTAAGGCAGCAAATTTGGCATTAAAATTCTTTTCCATTTTAGCAATTTGAGCATAAACATTAGAAGAACTCTGAGAAATCTCAAAAACTCCCCTTTTTGTGTTTGTTCTTCTGTCCATTGTTGGGATTCAGAAGCCATCATATCAAATAACTCAAATGCTTCTCTTGCTGATTTTGACATTAATGACCCTCCAGCAGATGCATTCACGTGACTTTTGGTGGTGGCATTGAGACCATCATAAAATATGTTCATTTGAAGGTTAGAATCAAACCCAGCATGAGGACATTTTGTGTACATCTCATTATACCGTTCCCAAGCTTCATGGAAAGACTCGTTCGGCTTTTGAGCGAAAGCCAATATCTCTTTCTTGAGTGCAAGCGTCTTGGAAGAAGGAAAAAATTTATTGAGAAATTTTTCTTGCAATTCTGTCCATGTTGTAATGCTATTGGCAGGGAGAAAATGCAGCCACGCCTTGGCTTTGTCCTTCAAAGAGAATGGGAACAAACGTAACTTGATAGCTTCAGAAGAGAAACCTCTGATTATGGTGTTGTCACATGCCTCAATAAAATCAACCAAATGCATGTTGGGATCACTGTTTGGCAACCCATGAAAGGATGGCAATATGTTGAGGATGTGAGGTTTGATTTCAAAGGATGTCCCATCTTCCACATCTGGATATATAATGCACCTTGGCACTGCATTGATTCTCGCCGCCAATGAATTCCTTAAAGGTTGACCTGCTGCAGGTAAGGCTAGGGCCATGTGTGCAACTGGTGCCAAAGGTTGGAAAACCTGAACAAACAACAGAAATATTAAGCCACAATAAAATAAAAGTAAAATAAATAAAACTTAACAGAAAATAACTAAACAACAAAAAGAAAAAGAAAGTAAGTAAACCTAGATGAATTAAAAACACAATTTATGCAAATTGGCAACTACTAGTTAATTAAACGAAGACAAAAATTCTCACACCACACATCCACTATACTTAATCAAAGATCAAAACTCAACTAAATTAATTGCTGTTTTTTTTTTTTTAATTTTAAATAATAATTTTTTTTTTAATTTTTATAATATGTGATTTAAAACAGAAATTTGTGAAAGGGATACATAAACAGATTTCTAACACAAATATACAGCAATATTACGGTACCAAAGTAAAATTCACCATCAATGAGCTTAATAAAAAAGGATTCTTAATTTTTTTTTTAATTTAATAATTAATAAAAATAAGACATAAACATAAGCATAAGAAAAATAAACACAAAAGCTCGGGAACTGTTGGCACAGTCCCCGGCAACGGCGCCAATTTCTTGATAGCGATTTTACCACTTGTAAAACAAAGGGTTAAACCATAGAAAATTTTTGCAAGAGAACAAGTGTTTGTAGTATAGAATGGCTCAAGCAAGGTCGATCTCCTCAGGGACTGATATAAACAATTTACGAGTTTTTGTGTATTTAACTTATTTAACTCTGAGAATTACACTAATTTGACGAAACTAAATATTACTGGATGTGACTTAAACAAATATCTAAAATGAGAATTTATTTATAAGAATAATGATTCAACTGAAACAAAACAAGTAAATAAGGAAATTCAAGATAAAATAAATGATTGAAGAAAAATAGATTGACAATATGCTAGAGTTCAACCTTTACCAACAACACTCCTACGTAGCTATTCCAATTGCTTAAATAATTGAAAACACACATGCTTTGAAGGTTGGATTTTCCTTGTGTATATTTTACTTGTGACATTCAAGCTAAAACGCATACCACTACATGCAACTTATGCATGACATTTGGATTAAATATAAACATGAGTGGTTCATTAATCTTGGTGAAAATCCTTTTGTTAAACCATATAATCCCTAAGAGCATGATATTTACCTTAGGAGAGTACAATCCTCAATCACAAGAAGCATAACCAATTTTAACGTGACATTCGTTCAAAATTGCATCCGATAACTTTTCTAAGCATCCTAATGGTGATCAAGCATCAAGGTACATAGATAGTTTATTTCAATGATTGAAAACATCAAAGCAAACATGTAACAACACTTAAGCAATTGAAAAATAAAATTACGTATTCATGTTGCGGCTCATGGCCTCACTCTAGCATAATAAATTAGTTACACATAATTATATGATACGTAGGAAATTATCCATAAAATAAAAAACACAGATAGAAAACACCCGTTTTTTATTCCTCTGCTCTGCGCCCTCTGTTTCTGTCCGTCAGTTTCCCCTCTCTCTCTTTGCGCTCTGGTTTTCTGCGCCAGTCTCTTCTCCCCTCAGTCTCTCCTTCTGTCCCTGCGCCTATTCGTTTTTCTGCCTTTCTCCGAGCCGCGTCTTTTCACTTCTGTCCACCTCTCTCTATCTTATATTTTCTTTTTGCGTTTCTGTCAGTCCCTGCTCCCACTCCTTATTCTTTTATTATTCTTTTCTGCTGTGCTCTCTGCTTTCTGCCTTCCACTCCCTCTTATTCTTCTATTTTTCTTCACTCCCTCTCCTGCTTTTCGTTCCACTTCCATCTTCTTATATATATTTTTTTTCTTTTCTTTTTCTTCCTGCCAGTGCTGCACTCCCCTTTGCTTATTTTATTTCTTTTATTTTCTTTTTTTATTTCTTTGATCCTAAAACAAAATTAATTGCACATTAACACAAGGTAAGATAAAATGCTACAATTTTAACACAAAAACATCACAAAGACTTTAGAAATGGATGGTATAAATGCATGAAATATATGAGTGATCTGCTACCCCGAGTAGACTTGACATTTTAGACCCGACCCGTTAATATTAGTATTTGGGTGGATGCTTATCGGGTCGGATCGCTAACGGGTGAATCCGTTAACAACACGTTAAATAACGGATCACTCTGGGTCAACTCATTATTTTTTCTTTTTATGCCCAGGATTGAATTTGTTATCTCCGCTGTTGAAAGGTACTTCCACTCTCTCTCTCTAAAAATATCAGTGTGAAGTTTGGTTGTTTCTCTCTCCAGAAACTTATATTCCATATTGCACCCATCAACTCTAATCATTCCTTAATGCTCATGGTTTTGTTCATTTATTTTGTTTTAGAAGTAAATGCCTACAGTTTTAATCTTTGAGTTTCAAAAATAAATGCTTGATGTTTTGATCTTTGTGTTTCTCTCTCTAGATTAAGCTTAATCTTTCTTAGTCTTACTAATCTAGAGGTGGGTTGAGTTCTAACCTTTGTTTTCTATGATGTTTAAAAAACTCTTAATATTTTATGGGATTAATGCTAATTTCTTTTTCTTTTGACAGATGGAAAAATTACACTAAATTTACTTAAAACTACGGGGAGAGGAATTCGAACCCGCAATGATCTTACTCTCTCGATCTTATTTATCACAACCCAGTTTTTTGTTTTCAGAAATCAAGTTTTGTGCTTTCAATTTTTGTGATTTTATTTTGTCTTTCAATCAGTTTTTTGTTTCTTTCAGGGTGAGCCGCAGTGATCTCGATGTGACCCAGCAAGTTCTCGCGTTCGTCAGGAATATCTCTATTCATCCGGAGGCTTGACTTGATTTCCCTCTCTCCGATGACGACGAAGATGCAGATGGTATCCTCTGCTTCGATTTGTCCATTTCTTTGTGTAATTCAATTCAATTCAATGTTCTTTGTTTTCATTAATCATTTCGTTATCTTATTGTAAATTAGTGTCAGTTTATGGTCAATGTTCGGAAATGTCAATTTGAGCTATTTGTGTTGCCAATACAGAGTTTTCGATTCGTATTTGTTTCAATTGTAACTTTGAATTTAATGCATTGTATAGTAATTCAATGAGCTAGACCTCAGTTCAGATTCTTATGTAGGGACTTAAACTTTAATTTTTTCAGTGAATATTAAAATTTGAATATATGTACGAATTTGTAATAAGATACAAAGAAGTTCATAGTAGCTGACTGACCTCATTTATATGGAAAATATTTTGTAGGCTGGGTTTACTGGGATTGGAGTTGGTGTTGCTTACTATGGTTTGAGACCTATTGTAGAGGCTATGACCTTTATCTTCCCAATGCGGGTTTGAGATTTTTTATTTTATTTTTTTGTTATAATCCATGGAAAACTTTTATACTGGAGTTTTAATGCTAACTGAAAGATTCTTATCATCTTTCTAGATCAGTTGGTCTATTTTTAATTAAAGGATTCTGTTCTGGTGTTTATTGCAGGCAATTCTACTGCAAAATAAAATTATGTCTGATGGTGCTGTTCCTGGTTTTGGTGCCCAGCATTCTCAAGTACTGTTCCGCACTCCTTTTCTTTTTAGTCTCTTTATTACGTTATTACATTGCCGTCTTTTATATGTTACCTTTTGTTTGTTTCTGATGTGCCATTTACCCACATCCACAGCACATTTAGCCTTCATTTCTAAGTGAGTTGCGAATGAATTTGGACCACTTTTATGATATGCTTTCAGTCAAGTATCTGTGGTTAACTATTGGTTACAGTGAAGTCCTAAATTATAATTTCTTCAATCTTTCAGATGGTAGAGTCATTAGTGCTTTACTGCTGGGATAGTATTGTACAATCGAATCGAACCAATTACTGGATCCTCAATTTGACCGACTCAACATATATGTCAAGAGAAATAGTACAAATTATATTGTGAAGCCACACTTTCAATCAACTTATCTTTAGCAGCTTTTGGTAAGATTAAGTGTTCAAAGAGTGCGAGGGGCAGCAGCTTCTAATTGCAACCAAAATATTGGAGGGTACACACTATGTTCTACACCCTAATGGCTCAGCCGTGTTTATAGTAAATATCAATGAAGTAATGAACCTTGGGATATGCCGATTCCCTCTGTGTTTGAAGATCGTTATAATTTGTTGAACATAGGTTGTCAGTCTAAATTTATTACGATTTAGGTGCAAATTGAAAGAATTATGAATATGAACAGTTTTAGAAATCCTGGTGGACCTTCTTTCTTTTATTGTATTGCTCTTGATGTAAATTCAATATAATATGAACGCAACCTAAGACTTATTTTTAGCATGTGGATTTAGCAGCTTTGATTGGTTACTAAATTATTTAGAAATGAGTGTGAAATTGTGATTACGGTTTCAAAACCCGTTGTGTAGCACGGGCATTCTTGCTAGTCACTACTATAAAAGTACTATTTGATAACTTCACAACTATAGAAGTGCTATTTGATAACTTTTTACCTGATTTTTTTTTTTACAAAATGATACATTTACACTGAGGAGCTGGAGAAATAAATTTGGTTGTGAACTCACCCTTTTTTATATTCGAATTTGAAACATCTCACTTACCAGTACAGAGTAACACCTTTAGTACATAGTACTAAGTATCTTTTCTTGGATATTTTTTGCGAAAATCGAAATTAAGACCTCTCACTTACAAGTGAAGAAGAATATCACTTGACCGTAATACTAAGTGGCTTTTTTCTTGGATATTTAGATATGAAAATCAAGGCAAATTAGGATTAAATCGGTTTCCAATCCAAATAAACACAATGGTTAAACATATGTTGACACCTCGCTTCCCATTCTACTCTTTAAGTTATAACCACAAAAAGTAGCTAGGTTCTCATGTGCGACTTCACAAAAATCATGATATAAACAAAAACATGTTGAGGAAAAACTTAGAGTACACAATTCTAACACAAGTGTTGGAGAGACAATACAAGTAAACAAATTACTTGTATTACACTCACAAAAGATTACAACACACAAACTATCAAGGACACACTTGAGAAGCTATGACACTCACTCACCTTCTAGAGACAAACTTTAGACCACTCACACTCTTACAAGACTTCTTGCTTCTCAATCTCACTCGGTTGCCTACTTGCTTGATTGGTTGGTTGGTTGGTTGGTTGGTTTGGATGCCTTCTCCTTTTATAGGCATGGATGGAACCTTGGAGAAGCATGGAAACATCATGCTAGAGATATCTAGATAATTTCACTACCTTCCTAAGCTAGAAATATCTACACTAATCTTGTATGTTGGTGGAATCCTCACCATTCTTCTAAACTCTTCCACCAACTTGAACTTTGCTAGAATTCTCTAGTATGTGTATGGATCTTTCTTTGTCCATGGGCTAGATCCATCTTGGGCCAATGCAAGATTACACTTCAACACAAACACCAATTGGGCTGGTGTTGATCTTCAACAAAACATAGTGCAGGCACAAATAATAATATATATATATAATTACCTGGGAAATTATACATATACTAAAACCCAAACTCGGGCGCACTGTTTTTCACTGTTCGTGAACAGTAAAATGTCGGAAATGCCCTCCAATTTTTCTTATCTTTGCCGTGCTTTTCCTTATGTATGCAGTGAATTCCCAGTTCTACCCATTCAGCCCAAAGGTGTTCTGTCGTTTCTTTCTCTCCTTCCGTTCATGTGTTTCACTTTACCTTTCTCCATTTTCTACTTTAGGGCTTCTGCTTTCCTCGGTCATTGTCGTTGTGTGCCTTCATTTCTCTCGATTTCTTCCTTTTTGTTTCGCAATTTTATCTCCGGCGAGACACGATCTTTGACTATGGAGCCTTTTTATGACACTAGTACTGCTTTCGTGCAAAGGAGATGGGTAAGAAGCATCCCAGAACTGCTTTGGCTAATCTTATTAACGTTAGTCTCCTGATAGGATTTTTACCACCTGTAAAAGTAGGGATAAAAATACTTTAAATACTTGCAAGAGTACGAGGTAATTGTAGTATAGATGACTCTAGCAAGGTCGTTATCCACAGGGATTGAATGAATAATTTGTATCAAACCAAATCTTAATTAATTACTTAATACAAAGTTTTAGAAAAAAGATGATTTTGTGATTTCAAATGATAAAAACGAATTTAATAGAAAATAATTAAATAAAGTGACAAAATAAAATAAAATAAAAATGAATTGCTGGTCTCATGAAACTTCTCCAAATAAGTTACAAAGGGAAGTTAGAATTATCAAATGCATTAACAAGAGAAACCTTTCCAAGAGGTTTAAGATTCTTGCAACTGAGATGGAGCCTCTCCAAAATTGTATTCTGACATTTTATCACACAGAATTCCAAATTTCCAAACAAACATAAACCTGATCCTACAAACAAGCGTTTTATGTCTCATAAGGCGAGACGTAAGAACACCAAATTAAAATGAGTTTTTATTACAAATGGTATGAAATTGATCAAATTTATTATTTTGGTTCCTCATTTTCAAAATCAATCAATGTCGTCCCTGACTTTTTTTTTTAATTTTTTTTGTAGAGACGGATTATGCGAGATTAGCTCTTCGTCAACAGTCGACATTCACTACCACACATCAATTTGGTCATTAAGATTCCGTCGACTATTTTGTTAGTTTGTATGTGGGACCCACAAATCTAATGAAATGGTGACATGTGGATTGCACAAAATAAGGATTTTTATCGCAAATGGTCCCTGACATTGATCCAACTCCTCATTTTGGTCCCTGACTTTCAATACCACATGTCAATTTAATCCTTCCGTTAAAGCTTCGTCAATATTTTTTTATCCCACTAATCCAATCATAAGGCGCCACGTAGATTAACTATAAGAAACTATTTTTTTTAAGATTTAAAACTAAAAGTAAAATAAGAAACTAAAAACCAAAACTAAAAGAAAAAAGTCATCATCATCTTCATTAGGGTAAGCTCAAAAAGTAAAGGAATGCACCATGACACCATTAAAGTACTTGGCCTCCTAAACTCACTCTTCATTCTCTCTAGTTGGTTATTTTCTTTAAATTTAAATTAAATTTGGATTTGATTTTATTGAATTTAGATTGAATATTTTTCTAGTTGGGGATGTTGGATGCGAGAAAAATGTCAACACGGAATACTCGTCTGTTGGTTCACTCTTAAAAAAATAGTTGCATTAGTGAGACCACTTCATCACACAAACGACAAATATTGATGAGATTTTAACGAAATGGCTAAGTTGATGTGCGATAGTGAAAGTCAATGACCAAATTTATTGATTTTTGAAACTCATGGACCAAAATGAGGAGTTGGATCAATTTCAGGGATCATTTGCGATAAAAACCCTTATTTTGTGCAATCCACATGTCATCATTTCATTGGATGTGTGGGTCCCACATACAAACTAACAAAATTGTTGACGGAATGACCAGATTGATGTGGGATAGTGAATGTCAAGGATGACATTGATTGATTTTGAAAGTGAGGGACCAAAATGATGAGTTTGATCAATCTCAGAGACCATTTGTGATAAAAACCTAATTAAAATTGCATAATTAATAAGAACAACCACCAAACCTAGATTGACAAATTCCAAATTTCCAAGCAAACATAAAGATGATCTTACAAATTACGATCATTTACAAAACATACAAAATGAAATTGCAAAACGGGAAAATCCACCTCGTCATCATTCAGAAGACCACCATGCAAAGTTCATGGGATTTTATTTAACGATAACAGGGTATTATTACTCACTACTTGGCCGTCATCACGAGTTCTCTCAAGACATCCTAGTTCCAGTTAGCACATCCCTTATTAGACTCAATTTAGCTACCACATTGCTCATGTCTTTTCGCTCTCTTGGCATCGCTACGGAACAAGCAACTCCTACTCTTGCAATGTCAGTCAAGCACTCCACAACCGTTCTTCTTCGATCATTTGGGGCATGATTCCCCCTATTACTTCTGGGATTAGTACTGTTGCTGCTTTCTTCTATTTGAACAATTAGTGGATCACATATTTCTCCCACACGTTCTGGTAGAGCCATCATAACAAAATTGTGCAGGTCCATACCACCTTTAAACATGTCATCTGTCGGCCTCTTGCCAGTTAACATCTCTAACAACAGTATTCCGTAGCTATACACGTCGCCATATGTTGACACCTCGCCTCCCATTCCATACTCTTAAGTTAAATGCACAAAAACATAGCTTTGTTCTTATGTGTGACTTCAAAAAACTCATGCTATATACAAACCATACTGCAAGCACAAATAAAATATATACAAAAGAAAATTTACCTGGTGGAGTATAGCCTATGGTGCCTTTTATGACATTGAAACTGCTATTGTGCAAAGGAGATGGGCAAGCATCCTGGAGGTACCTCGCTAAACCGAAATCACCAACACAAGCAGTCATGTCACTGTCTAACAAAATGTTGCTTGGCTTTATATCACAATGAACTATTGGCACGTGGGAGCCATTGTGCAAATAATCTAGAGCACACGCTACATCGATGGCAATGTTAACTCTTTGAGTGAGATTCAGATTCTTCGGCAGATTGGCTGGCCTATCTACTCCTTGAGCTGATATGTGCAGCCACTCATCTAGGCTTCTATTCACCATGAACTCATACACCAAGGCTTTGAAATCGTTTCCTTGAAAATCAATGCTTGAACAAGCAGTCAGTAGCTTGACAAGATTTCGATGCCTAATGCTTTTCAAGGCTTCACATTCAGATATGAAACTTTTAGAAGCTCTTGAAGTTTGAAGATTGAGTACTTTCACAGCAACATTTCTTTCTTCGAGCTGATTGAGAATTCCCTTGTACACGGACCCGAAACTTCCAGCACCAATCAGATTCGAAGCAGAGAACCCATTAGTTGCTTTGAGGAGATCTCCATAGGACAGTTTCAAGAGTGAAACCCCCAGTGATGATCCTGAATTTGACTTAAGCGCTCTAGCCTTTCTTGATCGATAAAGAAGCACAAGTAACAACGCCAAGACCAAGCCGACAACCCCACAAGAAACTGAGATGATTAAGTTCAGCTTAAGAGATAACCCGCGCTTAGATTGCTTGGAGATGCATTTAGGCAATCTTAAGTGAGGTATACCTCCACAAAGCCGTGTGTTTCCCACAACAGCTACCGCACTTGTATTCTTAAAAACTCCTTGGATTGGTACTGCACCTTCAAAATCGTTAAATGAAAGGTTCAAATTCTGCAAGAAGGGTAAACTCTCCAAGTAGTTGGGAATTATGCCAGACAAGTTGTTGCGAGAGAGGTCAAAATCTTCAATTCCTCTCAAAGAGCTCAAGGATTTA